CCCAGCTACGTGTTGTGTGGCAGCATGTGGGATTGTCTCCTTCCTGTAGAGGCTGGGGATTTACCTTGCAGGCGTATAATTCCCTTTCTATTGCTCCATATGGAGTTGCTGTTATTACATTGTTAGAGCAGCTGCAGACAGGATTCTTGGTCTTCCCAAGCTGTGTCTTTTTTACTGATGCAAGAGTCTGTGCAGATTTCGGCCACAGCACCACATCTTCTGATAGCCCTGGAAGTGGCTGGACCTCTGCTTGCAGATGTGCTGCCATAGGGCTGCATCCCAAGCGCTGATGTTCCCAATCCTTAGCATGGACATGGGGAGACCTGGCATAGTGTTTTAAATAATGGCACAAATTGCTTTTCAAAAGACTATCTTAGATAGGAGTAGGTGAAATCAGAAAGCCTTTATTGCACAAACCTTTCCCTATCCCAGCTGTTGTCTTTAAAGTCACTGATTATTTGCATGAGTCAAGATTGTTGTAAAGTGTTTTACTACTTCTCTGCATTGTCTCTGTTTATCATTAACCTTCCATACAGCATGATAACCTTGATTTCCTGCAGTCTGATGACTAGATACTTTTCTTTACCTTTTTTCATAGGCCCTTGTCCTGAAAAGGTACGTGCATGTCTGACTGCAGACTTCACATTTAAGTTCTTACATGCGGATTTCCAAAGCTAGAAAATAAAAAAACTAAATTTTGGTACTTTTAAATTCTATACTTAAGAAATAAGGAGTTATTTCCCCACAAAATATTGCATATACCCAACTGTTACACCAGTGCTCAGGTACAGCGGGTCTAAATGCCACTTGGATCTGCACTCGGAACGAATTCCCTGTGCCTTGCCTAGGGTTTTGTGTTGGGTAAACACTTCTTACATCCAGACCCATCCAGAAGGAAGCACCAAGCACAGGATGGGATTGGGGCCAGCTCAGTCTGGTGTCTGGAAAGCTGCTCCTGTGTCTTGCAGTTGATTCTCTCAATATATTGAGGTGAAGAGATCCTTAGGGGGCTTTCTCCTGGGGGTCTGCTTTGTTGCTCACATCCATCTTGAATGGGATGGTATTCCACATGGCACACAAGTACTCGTGTGCCTTGTTGAGGGTATGAGGGATGGATGAAGCAGGGAAACTTGCATATAAGCTGCATTGCTAAGGCTAACAAAGGATTTTGCTTCCAACCCTTGTTACTCTTCTACCACATCTGAGAACTAATTGAAGCCTCAGCACCTCCAGTTGTTTCTGGTTTTAACCTGTGCTGTCCTGATGCCTGGCCAGCCTTGTGGATTCTTGAGTATCCAGACATATTTCTTGTGGTGAAAGGTATTTTTGGAAGCTATTTTTTTTTTTGTATTTAAGTACAGTATATATTTGTACTTAAGAACTGTTCCCCTTTTTGCATCTGAGCCCAGGTGACTCAGATCCATCCGAGTCCCCTTTTCTGATGGAAAGATGGAGAAGAGATTTTGGTCATTTGAAGCAGGCTTTCACATTGTGCATTCCTGGGATGCTTTTCTTAGTTGTGGGAACAGACAGAACCATTCATCTCTGTATGAAAAGATTGCAGGAGGAATCTAGCAGAGATCCAGCAAAATCCTTGTAATCTGTGTCATCTTGGAAGAGGAAGAAGACAAAAATAAGCAGAGCTGATGGCCCCAGTGTCCCGAAGGGCAGATGGGGTATTTTTTATGCTGTGTCTGGAGAAAGCCACATTTCCATGAAGTTATACAGCGGGTAAAAGCTTACAGTTTATGCAGGTAATACAGGCAGTAGGAAAGAAAATTGCTTGTGTGGTTCTTATGCCACTTGTGGCATCATATTTGCCTGCATCATGCATCTACTGCTGGAAACAGTTTTTTGAGAAGGGCTTTGTCTGTTAACAGAGGCTGTTGGGATACTGAGGCCACAGTACAGGACCTCACGCCAAGTTACCGCTAATGGAGATACTGGACTATGTCCCAGGCCGAGGCTGTTTCTGCAGCACAAAAGCTGCATCACTTCGTTGGAAGCTGATGTGTGACTTGGATGGCTGTGGGTGAAGATGACCTAATGGTGTAATTCAGAAGAGCTCTGTGCTTGGCATTCAGAGCTTCCTAAAAACCAGCTCATATGTGTTGAAGTGGGGGAGAAATTAGCGACAGGGAAGAAGTATCTGTCCCTAGCAGCAGGCAAAGACTTCTTTAAAGGTGTCCCAAACATCAATCTTATCTATGCATTTCTAACCAGCTGGATTTATAGTAAGAATTCCTATGTTCATCCTAGTCTCCCTGTGTGATTGTGTGAGGGTGCAGGTACATGCTAAAGCAGTTGTCCGTGTTTCCTGGCTTTGGTCAGTCTGCAGCTTGTGGAGATGAGAATGCCACTTCAGACGATCTGTCAGACTCCCCTATGAACCAACATGCAGTGAGTGGCGTGGGGCTGAGAGCATCTGGCTGTGATGGAAGGTAGCGTTTGGGTAGTTTTTGGCTCTGTGTAACATGGACACCCCAGTGACTGTGGCCATGAATCAGCCATGGTGATTGTATTTCAGGATAAAAGCAGTTATCTGCTCAGAGGGCAGTGTAATTAGCAGCCTGTGGAGTTCATTTGGGCTTCAGCGTTAGGATGTTCAAAGCTAATGTGTTTGCATAAAGATTTCTGATAGAAACCTCTCTGCAGTGGGAACACACTTCCTCTTGTTTCTCTGCCTGTGTAAAAATAAAATCCAGGCATCCTGAGAAGGAGCAGAATATCACAATGTCCTGTGACCTGTGGGGACAGCTGATACTCAGGGATAAGGAGTAGTGGAGGGAGAATGAACTGAAGTTCCCTGGCTCTTCACAGAGGAGCAGACTAAATTCACTGCCTTCCTTAAAGTGTATGTGGTTCTGGCTGCAAAGATGGAGATCCAGAGAATCCCTCTGACAGAGGCCTGACAAACTGTAAAATGTTTTTATTCATCTGGCACTCTTTCCCTGCTCAGATTCTTCTGTTTTATTCTTCCCCTGTGTCCTTTTATCCTTTGCTCATCCACAGTCCTGGCTGTGGATTCAGCCAGCATCCCCAGCTTGCTTAATCACAAGTACAGCATCAAACCTTGTAACCAAAAGGTAGGGCTGGGCGAGGAGATGTGCAAACCTAGGAGTAAGGGCATATTGTGAAGAAGCAAACCTTCAGGTTGAAAGCGATGGAGATGGGGCGAGATTGATAGAGCACATCAGCTGCCAGCAGAAGTGCTAGAAATCAAATTGCTGTGTAAAATCAAAGCTGGCCCCAGGCAAACCGTGTCATATGAGATGGAGTGGGGGGGAGGGAGATGTCTGATGGCTTGACAGATAGGAGGAATATTGATACACTGATCAATGTTTCTCACCTCCAGAGTCTGTTACTTGTCTCCCTATTTTATGCTAAATAGAGCTGGGATCTGCAGCCTCCTGTCCAGCTCTGTGACAGCATCTCGTTTTTGCAGTGTAGTGCAGGAAGGCAGTTTTCTTAACAGGAACTGCTTGGTCTTGTTCCTGCTGCTGGAGATGTGATCTGAGCTTCCCACTTCTCACAAACAGCCCTGACTTCTGTGTAAGTTAAAGTACTCCCATTTGGTGCTGTCTGCAGGTGTCTGAAGTCACCTGAGGTGCTGAACACCCTTTGGGGGGAACATGGAGATGAGGGGCTTGATCCCTTGGGTTTTCACTTGGGCTGTCTCTGCTGATCCCTCCTTTCGTTGTCTCTCTGAGCTGGTGTGGGACGACTGACTCTTACTGCTGGAACACTCTTTGGTGTCTCAGGTATTTGTGAACCCTCAGGAATACTTTTGGAATTCTCCTTGTGTTTTTTTGTCCTCTGTGTCTGCTCACAGCTTTCCCTGGAGCTCTGCCAGCCCTCCCCTTGCTCTGATCCAGCCTGTGTTGAAATCCTTACTCATGCCTTAATCACTTCCTGTCCCCACTATTGCAATTCCCTCCTCATGGCATCTGTAAATCTCTACTACATTAATTCTCAGGAGTGCTGCCTCCTTCCTTGGCCCAGGCAGCAGGTCTGGGTGTCCCCCAGCTTCTGACTGGTCCTTGGCTTGCCCTCCTTGCAGTTCCTTTGACTGTGAGGTTGGCATTCTCTGGCTTACTGTGCTGCCACCTTCTTTCCTCCTCATCCCAGCCTGCTCACCCAGCCTGAGCTTCCTTTTGGCTGATGGTCTCAATGTTTTATTGTTTTTTCTTTATCCATTAGGAATGGGGGGGTAGGGGTGGTGTTTGATTTATTTATTATTTTTTTTTCCAGTCATTTCCTTTATTTTTCTTTTCTGGTCATAGAACTTTTTGCTTGAGGAGTTGTGTGTTTGTTCATGCAACATCCTTGCAAGGAATTTGGAGGTTTTATTCCACTTGCCTGCCAGGAAGGGAATGACATAGGGAAGTGTTATGTGACTTCAGTAATTAATAGCTGATGGAGTCATGCTTAGGTTCCAGAAAGTGATTTTTTTTTTCAGTCTTACTGGAAATCCATGGGGTCAGATGCCCTTTTTCTATAACCAGGTTTTGGATTTGTCCTTAAGAAAAAGAGCTGAAGGCCCCATGTTGGACACTGGCCTCTCCTTCCTCCTTCTGTCAGTTTGGAGAGGCTGCCCCAAAGTCTTGTGAAAATCGGGCCTTGTACCAAAGGTTCAAGCTGGGGTTGTTAGTGTCCCTTTGGTAAGGGCTCTGACAGCGGAACTGGGTCTTGGTTGATGCATGAACTGAGATTTTAGAACTTAAAACTAGTCAATAAATCCCAAACTGAATTTAAATTGTTGTTTGGGGACTCTGGGAGGTTTCAGCATTGATCCAGGACTCCAGAACTAAAGTGAGACTGTGGGATTGAGGAATGTAACATTAGGATGGGAGATGGAAATGATCACCCTTGCTTTACATGAGGAGAAATGGAAGTTCTTGACTCTGCTGTGGCTATGAGGAGGGTGCTGGGTACTGCCTTATGGGATCCTGTTTGGTGCTCTCCCACCCATTCTCTATCTGGTTTGTGCCCTCTCTCAGGTCTGTAACAATGGAAGAGGTCCATCATCGAGAAGCCTGAATTGTGGTACCAGGAAGGCCCTTTGAGACACTGACAATAGGAGCCTGAGATACAGAAGACAGCAAACATGCTGAAGCCAAGTGGACTTAAAATCCCAGGCAGGGCTGGGAAGCACTCCAGCCCAGTGGGATGGGCATCAGGGACTACTACAGCTGCTGTCACCACTGGCTCAAAAGAAGGTAAGGACTTGATCTGGTAGGGGCATGAGCTGACCCAGGTGATTACCTGGCTTAAAAGCAAAGGGCTAGTGGTGCTAGTGTTCAGTAAGATGTGAAATTCCCATCTGTACATAGATTGATCATGAGCATGGATCAAAACAAGTGTTATGGGGTGAGTAAATGGTCTCTCCCCAGGAATGCACAAAACAGGTTGTGGAGTGGGTGGGAGACAGATGGATCCTCTGGTGTTCATGGCTGATAAGAGAGCTGCTGCCTCCTGCCTTGCTTGTTTGTGTATGTGTACCTGTACAGATACTAACATGTGAAGAGCTGGTAATACTTAGGCAGATGAGAAACTCACCGAGGACCTTATTAAACACTGTCCTATAGCCATGGCTTTTGGCCTGTGATAATGCAAGAGTAAGCATGAGGCACGTAAGGTGGTTTGTCCTATGCCAATTCCCTCAAATTAGTGCCTTTGTTTGCACAGAATCATCAGAAGCACTGGGATTTGAATCATCACTTTCCTAGACATACATACCCAGGCTTTACTGTCTGATGATCCATATCCAGTGTATATGTAAGCTATACAGACTGCCATTATACACTATAATTAAAGCTTCGAAATCATTTGAGGAGTGTTTTGCTTAGGAATCATTTTTCTGGCTTCTTTAATTGCTAGGTGCTTTGTATTAGATATAATTCAGCAAACATTCAAGGTGCAGGTTTTGTATGTAATGCTTTTTGTCTTCCTTTGTTATAAAAGGCTTTCCCCTAGCTTCTGGGGAAAAGAATCAGGCTGATGTATATCCTGTCAATCAGTTGTACATCTGGTATGTTACACTTTCCATTTGAGGATGTCACTGGTTGCTGCTTGAGGTCTGTCAGCCTCTTGTCCCATAATAATTCAGGCTATTGCCCCCATGCCTGATCTCTTCACTGTATGTTTCAGTCCCAAAGATGTACAGTGTTTGGCAGAAGCAGTAAAGCTTTGTACCTGTTGAACAGTGTAGGGGGTAATAGTGGGCAAAAATAGCTTTAGCATGCTATGACCAATTATCATCTGTGGTAATGATACTGCAGAAATGAGGGTCAGCAGACAATGCTCCCTCTTGTCAGAGAAATGCGGAAGTGTTAGTTATTGAAACAAACCAAAAAGCCATTTCTGAAGTTTCTCTTGTGCTTGTCCCATGAACACCCTCCATTGAGAGGGTGGTTTGAGCACAGCCTCTGCGCAGGAGTTCCATGCAAAGTCTCTGCTCTCTGCTGAGCAACCCTGGCTCTGCTGTTATTACACATCAGGGCTCTGCTTTGTTCATGGGTGTCTTCAGCTGAGTTTTCCCTTCTTTCAGTCACTGATAGTGTGTCATCTCTCCCACTCAGTAAAGTCTTTCCTTGAATAGTATTTAAAACTCAGTTTTAACTTGTTTTTTTGCACATGTGCGGGGTCGTGTTTGAGGGCCCAGTCAGTGCTTGAGGTCAAGGGCTGAGTTCCAGATGCTTTGGTGTAATACAGCTCTGTAGGGAGTGGAGCAGCACTGCTTTTCCTCGGCTGAAGGCTTGGCCCTGGATGTAGAGGTAAACGTTTGAATTTCACTTCTCTGTGTTTGTGTGGGTTTTAGTATTGGACTGATTTCTTAATTTAGTATCCACATCAAAGATACTGAAATCTCCTTGTATCTGTTTGCTAGAGGGTAGCATGAGTTGACAAAGAAAATTTGTAGGGTAAAGTTTATAGGTTGGGCTGTTTAATTTGAAGTTCTTCCCCACACTCATTTCTGTATTTCCCTCTTGTTTCTCCCAGCACCTCACTGGGACTGAGAAACAAACCCGAAGGCCTTCAGTGAAGTGACTGTTTAGCTGCCAGTTGTGAATCTCTTGGTGCTGGATTTAGACTCACACTGTGGTGTGGAGGTGTTCTCAGATGATTTTTATCACTTCAACAACAAAATGAGGGACAAGACCTAAGGCCTGTCCTCCCCATGGGTGCTTTGCACTGAGGTGTCTCAGCAAACACAGTAATTGTGTGTTGTGGTGTGACAGAGTCAGTCAGCACTGGGGTCTGATGCAGCCTTCCAGCTGAATGCAGCACTTGTCTGCTGGAGCTTCTTTGTGCCTTGTTCAGCTATAGCCATCTGTCACTGTGATAGATGTGCAGCAAAGCGTGGGGAGAATCTGCACCAAAATGGGTTTGATCTTTTCAGGACCAAATCTAATTTTTTAACTTCTCAGGCAAAATGTGTGTACGGAGAAGGGGAGAAGTCTTGACATGGTGAGTTGGTGTTGTGCAGCTATGCTGCTGCTCTTCTGCCTCTCAGGACAGTAAAGGGAGCTTTCCAGAGTCACAAAGCTGCCATAGTAATCATAACACTGAGCAATTCCTGCCTGGAAGGTGAGAGCAGGGCACAATTACAAAATAGAGCTGTTTACCAGGCCTGTGCTAGGTGGATAGTTGTGGTAGGGCTTGTGGCATCATCTTTAATGTCATCCCTACCATCATCATCTTGCTCTATGTCCTGCATAAGAGCTACCACTGTGTCTATTCATGGCCTGTACCTGCTCTTCCTCCTGCAAATCTCTCCAAAGGCCTGGCCAGCCTTTTGCTGCCTCCTGTTCCTCTAAGTGGTGAGCAAAGTCTGCATCCCCAAATCGTGTTCACTTGCCTATGGGCCCCTCTGTGAGAGCTGCAGTGTGTGTTCTGGCTGGGGGGCTGAGCAGCAGCACAGGCAGTCATGAGATTCAGCCTCTGGCAGGGAAAAACTCCAAGAGAAAATATTCTTTTTTCTAAAGTGGTTTAATTCTGTTTCAGAGCCAAGTGTCCACATCACTAAAATCCTGACCACAGCAGGCACTGACGTCAACTCTGAGCATTCCTGCAGCCAAAGAATCTGGTGGTAGATGGCTCTAGAGGCTGGATTTCATTACCTTTCCTGGGATTAATTAGGCCTGGGCCATAGGAGGGTGATGGAGCTTTACCCCATCCTCACTCTTCTGTCTCGCTAAAGGATCACTCATCCTCTGGCCTCTAAATGGATCACTGGTGTTAATTCATGGCAGTACTGATAACCCAGCTTTATCAAGAGAGGTAAGTGCATGACAGCCTGAGGGCTGTTAGAGCTGGTAGTGCACAGTGAGCACTGAGTGCTGTCCTCAGTGTCACAGCACTGGCTCCTTTCTAAGATGCAGAGGGACAGTGGCAGAGATGGAGAGGCTACAAACAATTGTTCTGTTGTTTATTTAATTCAAACACTGCAAAGGGCTTTTTCTGCTTTTCTTTCCTCTTCTGTCACTATCCAGGAAAGTGCCTTGATGTGATGCATTTGGTGTCTGGTGGGATGGAAAGATCCTCTAAAGATACCAAGCTTAACATCAGGTCTTAAAAACCTGGGTGAAAGAGGTTGTGTGCAAGCCATTTGAGAAGCCCTGCAGAAACCATGAGCTCTGCTCTGTGCTGTCTTTGAATGTTTGCATGATCTCTGTCAGCTGTGTCTGTGCACTGAGGGTGCTTCCTGGGACACTGTCAGGGTTTGCCGGGCTCCAGGGGCATCTGAGTGCGCTGTTTCTGAACTTGAATGTTCCCTCCACACTTTCTTCTGGCATTTCTGGCTTCTCTGGGTTTTTTTAGGTGTTTGGTGAACTACCTGAGGCCTGCAGCTCGATGGGGAAAAAACCCAAATGTGGTTTGCATTATAAAATGCAGAACTGCAACATTGATCTCTCTGAATTTGCTACCCTGAGAGAAGAGAGGAATCTCAAAAGCTTGAAATATAGATGCAGAAGAACCATAAATATAATCAAGTGCAGAGTTAAACTGGAACAATGTACAGCCTGTTGGCTCTGTGCTGTCTCTTGGCTCTGATAGTCTGGGGCTGGCTGAGAAAGAACCCCCATTGAAGTTGTTTTCCAGATTGGGTGTCAAAAGAAGGTGCTTGCTCTGCGGTTGTACCTGAGAGTTGTCAGAGAGCCATTAGCTGCAAATCAGTTTTGAAAAGCTTCATGCTTTCTTCCTCTACCTTTCCATATGCTGAACAGTCTTGCCTGCAGAAGTGCACAAGTAGATGTATTTTCCTTTAATCTTAGTATGGAATACGCAGGATGCTTTGGTTTCTGCTTTCTCTTTTCCCCAGCACTCTGTTCATATTTGTTTATAGAAGGTCAAGTGTCTTTCATCCAACTCTTATCTCTCTTGCATTCCCAGCAGTGGAAATGTACCCTGTTAAACTTGACCATGTAGTCTTGACAACTCACATCTTGTGGAACAGCACAGAGGACTGATGCAGATGGAAGATGCTGTGTGCTCATGCATATGTAATCTTGTAAGTTCCTGCTGTAGGTTTCTACAGAGACCATACATGACATATTCACAGCATGTGAGACAAGGTGGCTCAATATATCAGAGTTATTTTTCCTGAGAACTTACTTGGAGCCCCTGTTTCCTACCAGCTCATGGGGTGTCCTCTTTGAACTTCCCTGGAGTGGAGTTACTGTGCTTCCTACCTGAGCTTGCCCTTTCAGAGACCCGGGAGGTGTGAGGGCTTTCAGTGGTGGCATTCTGGGCCAGGTACGTTGGCTTTATGTGAGTGGAAGCTTTTTGTTTTGTGAAAGAGATGTGAAATGGGCATTCACACTGAAAGTCAGTGAGGGACTAGCACCTGACATGGATTCTTGGAGAACATTAGCCTTGATGAGTGGTGTCCCCACCAGCTATCCCCTTCCTTTCTCTCCCATAGAGCTGTAACAATGGAAAAAGTAAGTTCTGCTGCTTTGCGGTCACTTTTTTCCATAAAACCAGGCTAAAAATTCATCTCTAGCTGTCTCAGGAGAGGATTTCCCACAAAAGTGTTGGCTTATTTCCCATGCTTCAGGTGAAGACAGTTACTGCTCCCAATCCCATGGGCAAGAGAGGTTTCTGTGCTAAAGGTGTGGGTCGCTGGTAAAGGGCTCAGTATAATGCTTGTATTTCTTGTTACTTACGAAGCTCATATGTCTTGGGTTCTTTCCTAACCTCTTCCTGGAAAAGC